AACCCAGGGGGTCTGGTTCCAGATGCCATCACCTGAGCCACAGCAGGAAGGCACAGGATAGAGCATGATTTCACAGAGCAACTTCAGGTGGTGGGTCAGCCTGTCAGTCAGTTAGTCAGTCAACAAACACACATTGACCTGCTCGTGAACCAGGCAAGGCTCTAAGGATGATCAGAGAATAAGACAGATGTGGTGCTTGCCCTGGGCAGGCCACACTCTATCAGAAAATCAAGGTCTGAGCAGATAATAAAAATGTGATGGGTGCCCAGATACACCAAGGTTGCAGGTTGATTCCCCGTTCAGGGCACATATAAGAAACAGCCAATGAATGCATAAATAAGAGGAAGAACAAATCTCTCTCTCTCTCTCTCTCTCTCTCTCTCTCTCTCTCTCTCTCTCTCATTAATTTAAAAAAATTTAAAGACAAAAATAAATGTAACGGGTGCTTCCAATGCTCACAGGCATGTGTGAGCAGGAGCGAGGAAGCGGAGAAATTATGCTTCGGAGGCAAGAGAAGGGAGGCTTCACCCAGTGTGAAAGGTTCTGCAAAGTTGTCCAGCCCACCCTGCATCAGATGGCTGATGGGACACCTACGGGTCCCTGGGTCCCCCGGAATGTAACCTGATAATCCCTGGCATCTATCTATCCTCTGAGCAGCTCCGTGGAGCAGTCAAAGCAAGGCAAGCTTTGGAGAGTAGCAACAACCTCACCTGACTGAGCACCGCCCCTGTGCCAGGCACTGTTTGAGCCTTGTCCCTCGGCTACCCCGCCCCAACCAAGGTCCCACCGCCACTGCATGACAGGCCTGGATGTGGACCAGGTACGCAGGTTCCAGAGTCCCCAGCCTCACCTCCCTCCTCTACTGCCCCCCTGCTACATGCCGAGGTTCCCAGGCAACTGTCCCAGATCACAGAGCCAGGCCAGAGCCCCTGCCCACCACACCCTCTGGCTGCCATCATGCTGCAGCATCCCCAGTGCCTCCCCCAGTGCCAGCACATAGTGGGTGCTTCGCAGGTACCTGCCAAAGGACCCAGAGGCATCGTGCTGTCTCATCCTGCACACCACCCTGCGGAGTCGATTTTACCCATTTCACAGATGGGGATCAGAAAGGAGCAGTTAAACCTCGAACCCAGCTCTGCGGTTCCTCTGTCTGCAGAAAACCCACGCCGCCTGCAAGCTCAGAAGACACTGGCAACGGGCCTTTAACCATAGAGGAGAGAGGGATGGGCCCAGAGCTCAGGGAGGAAAATAGGCGCTGACCAGCTGGGAAATCCGTGGGAATGTCTCTCACCCCCCAACCCCATCCCACCCACAATCTGTCCCCCAGGCAGCAGCCAGGGCAGGGCGAGGAAGGGGTCAGGGAGGCAGGCCACGGATTTCCCAAGGAGGACATCCCCTCCTGCCCCTGTGGGATGGCCAAGGAGCCACCCAGGAGCTGGGCCTGTCTTGCTCTCGCTATCCTCACTCTTCTCCAGGAGGCAGCCGCCCCTCCACCCCTCGCCCACCCTCCCCCGCCTCTCCTCCCCGCTCAGCCCAGGCCCACCACCTCCTCCGCCCGCCCCCGGCTCTCAGAAAGCCCTGGAAAGGCTGCTTTCTTTGAGACAGGAAGGTGTCCTCAAGTCTCAGGAAGGAAAAACAGTCAAGCTGAACCCACCAAGACCGTCTCCAAGGGGCCGGGGCTGGCGCCTGGCCAGGACTGACATCACCTGGGAACTGCCGGAGCCGCAGCTGCAACACGCCTCCTGGGGGGACGCGCTTTTGCTATTTAAAATAATAATAATAATTTTAAAAAAACATTTCCAGTCTGGTGTTTTTAAATGTGCTTTTTATAGTGGGCCCTGCAGTGTGGGTGTGTTGGTGTCCCCCCCTTCTTTCTCCTCACGTCCTGACTTTCACACCACGGCAATGTAGCCTTTCACCAATTCCAGCGAATTCCTGGGAATTCGGGGTGGAACCTCCTGCCAGTGTCTGGCCCACCCCCTCAGATGATCTCTTATCTATCTATCTAGATATATTTAATTTTAATTTATAGAAAAATATCAAAAATATTTGCTCACGGTAACAAATTCAAAAGGTACCTAAGAGCATCAGGCGAAAGCATGTCTCTCCCTGCCTCTCAGGCAACCCGTCCTTTACCCAGTGCTCACTCTGTGCCAGGCACTCTTCTAAGCAATTATCTAATATTTACTCATTTAATCTTCATAAAAAGCATATGAGTAGGGTTTCCATTGGCGGCTGTCTTGTGAATATTGCTGAAGATATTCTATGTATATAGAAGCAAATCTAGATCTATGATCTTTCCCAATCTCTCTCTTTAAAAACACAAATAGATGCTTTTTATATACCCTGGTCTGCACTTTGCTTCTTTTTATTTTTATTTTTCTTTGTTAATCCTCACCCGAGGATATTTTTTTCATTGATTTTTGGAGAGCGTGAAAGGAAGGAAAAGAGGCGGGGGAGAGAGAGAAACATTGATGTAAGAGAGACACAACAACTGGTTGCCTCCCGCACACACCCCAACCAGCACCAAGGATCGAACCTGCAACCCAGGTATGTGCGCTTAACCAGGAATCGAACCTAAGACCCTTTGGTGTGAGGACTGATGCTCTAACCACTAAGCAAACTGGCCAGGACTGCTTCATTTAAAAAAATATAATGGAATGATTCCATGTTGTGCATACAGAGGTTCCCCATTCACCTTCATAGCTGCATATTATTCCCTTATAAGGGAGGATGTACCATAACATAATTAAGTTGTCCACTATTGGTGGACATGAAGGATGTTTCCAATCATTTTTTTTATTGAATTTATTAGGGTGACATTGGTTAATAAAATTATATTACATTGTTTCAGGTGTACAATTCTATAATACATAATTTATATATTGGATTGTGTGTTTACCACCCTAAGTCAAGTCTCCTTTCCCCCCTTTTTACTCTTTTCTTCCTCCCCCCACCCCATTTCCCTCTGGTAATCACCATACTGTTGTTGTCTATGGCCAATGTTTTCTCTTAGGAATAATGCAGCAATGAATAGACAGAGTGATTTTCTAAAAGCATAGACCTCATCAGTCCACTATTTAATATATTTTTTTTATTGATTTTTTACAGAGAGGAAGGGAGAGAGACAGAGAGTTAGAAACATCGATGAGAGAGAAACATCGACCAGCTGCCTCCTGCACATCTCCCACTGGGGATGTGCCCGCAACCCAGGCACATGCCCTTGACCGGAATCGAACCTGGGACCTTTCAGTCCGCAGGCCGACGCTAAGTCCACTATTTAAAAACTCTCCATCCTTCTCCTTTGTATGCAGAAGGGCATCTGAAATGGAGGGGTATCAAGAATCCCTCCGAGACTCTGATGAAAGCTCCCCAAATGAACCTGCTCCCCAAAAGAAGCTCATGGACAATTGGCCTTCATGTGAGGTTCAGGGACCCCTGGAAACCCCACTCATGGAGGCAATAATGCCTATACACCTCCCCCAGCTGTAAGGTGTGGCCATGGCTTTGAACTGGGCAGTTTGGACCGACAGCTCTTCTGCTTCAGAGTTACAGGGCCTTGGTAAAATGGCTTAATCGCACCAGAGCTCAGTTCTCTCGTCTCTAAAATGGGGCTAATTATGGCAGCTTCCTCCTAGGATTGTGAAAAATAGATTGGATTCAGACTCTGAAGTGTTTAGCCTGGCACACAACAAGTCCTCACCCTAGATTAGCTGGCGGTGATTCTGACTGTGGTGGTGGTGGTGACCATAGTGGTAGTGGCAGTGGTGGTGGGATTGTTTTTATAAGATAAATTCCAAACTCATTCATTTATTCAACAAATATTTATTGAGAACACATTGTAGACAGGGACTTGGGAAGGACTACTCAGAGGTGTGGAAAGCCCCTGGTGACCAAGGTGAGGGCTGGTTGGGGGAAGGAACAGAGGCTGGCTGGAGGCCACTCGGGTCATCTATGTAAAAATGATGACCTCAAAAAAATAATAAAATAAAATAAAAAGGATGACCTCAACTAGGTAACAGTCATGAAGGCAGGCAAAAGAGGGCAGCAGCCAGCAGAGATATACAGGAAGCAGAGGTGAAATAAATACCTCAATTAAGAGACTGATTGAGTGTGGGAGAGAGGGAAGAGTTGAGTAAAAAGGGTCAGTTCATGCCCCTCCCCTGCCCAGTCCTGCAAGGGCTTCCCATCACTCTTACAATGAAATCCAAGGTCCTCTCCTGGGGTGCCAATCTCTGCTGACCTTATTGCCTCATCTCCCTCCCACTCCCCTTGCTCTCTGAGCTCCAGGCACACCAGCCTCCTAGCAGTTCCTGGAACACACAGGGCCCATTGCCATCTGCCTAGAATGCTCTCCCCTCACCTACCTCAAGGCTTGCTAATTCCCTTCATTCAAATCTCTGCTCAAATACCACCTTCTCAAGGAGGCCTGCCCTGACCACCCAAGCTAGAACAACACTCCTCCACCAATCTTTTGTTTTGGGTGTGGTAACATATACATAACATACAATTCTCAATTTTAACCATTTTTAAGTGTACAATTCCATGGCATTAAGTACATCCACAATGTTGTGCAACCATTTTCATCATCCCAAACACCTTTCCACCAATCTTTATCCCCTTGTCTTAGTTTTTCTTCATAAGTCATTACTACCTGACTCTACTAGTATGTTATTTATTTATTTAGTTATCTTGTTTACTGCCTGTCTCCTTTGACTAGAATGGAAACTACAAGAGGACTAGGACTTTGCCTGTGTTGTCCACTGCTATCTCACCAGCCCTTCAAGAGTGCCAGGCACATAGTAGGTGCTTCATAAATGATTGTGGATAACTTAACCGATGAAGGAAGGAGGATGCAGGCAAAGGAATAGACTGATTTTCTGCACAATTCAGGCACATCCCTCCCTACCAGTCCCTTTCCCACCACTTCTCTACCCTTCCCCTTCTCCCAGCCACCTTGCAGGTTCCACTGCCAAGCCTTTGCCCAAGCTGCTCCCTCATTGGAAATATTGTTTCTTCTTCATGCATCAAAATCCTATTCATTTTTCAATACCCTACTCAGGTCCTACCCCCATCACAAAGGATTTCCAGCCAATTCTTCATCACCCCAACTGCTCTCCTTTTCCAATGTTCCCACGTGTTTCTGCCTGGAATTGGCCAGTTCTCTTTTGGTTGTAAGTGACAGAAATCCAACTCAAAGTGGCTAATGGAAAAAAAAAAAAAAGATAAGTGATTGGTTTCCAGAACTGACTTCAGGACACTGATTTTATGGCTGAATGCAGATGATCTTAGGGTATCATTAGAACTGTCTCCATGTCAGCTTCATTCTCAGAGAGCCTCCCTCTGTTAGAGACAACGATGGCTGCCAGCAACTCTGGATCACAACTATCCTTTCAGAGACTCCTTTGGAGTGGGCCATCTTCCTAGCAGTTCCAGCAAAAGTCCTGGGGAAAGTCCCCATTGGCCTGACTTGGGCCATGTGTCCAACTTTATGCCAATCCCTATGGCCAGAAGAATGAAGCATTCTGATTGGCCAGGCCTGGTCATGTGCCCACCTTTGACGTGGATGTGGGGTTTGCCTGGCCTGAGCTACAACAAGCAAGAGTGGGGGAGGGATGGTTTCCCAAAAGAAAATGGGGAAATGAACACTCTGGAGGCAAAAGCCCCAGATGTCATTAGCAATGTTTGTTGGAGCACTTGCCACACTGCCTCCAGGAACTTGAATTATTTGTGTAGGATGTGTCTTTCCCCTGAGTCCCCTTGGGGCAAAGTCCAGCACCCAGTGCAGAATCTAGCACATGCTCAGTGCTTGATGAAACCCAACGTGCTTCTCTCCTCTCCGTCAGGGCCCAGGCCCTTTTTGCCCTCCGGCTGTGACTTGGCCAGCTTTGGAGGACCAGTGTAGTGGCCAGGCCGATGAGAGTGCACATGATCTCTGGCCCTTGCCCAACCCCTCTGGCACAGGTTGTCCCCACCACAGAGGGACCAGGCAGTCCAGTTCTCAGTCCGTGTCATTAGTGTGCCCTTGAGAAAGTCCCTTCCCCTCAGTAAGCCTGTGGTCCCTTCTGTTAAGTAGGGGCTGGGAGAAGCATTTGATCTGAGAGGCATTTCTTCCTTTTCAGCCCATCACACTTCTCTTCATTATTCTTTTCATGTCTGGGTACCACCTGTGCTGCCAGTTACATAACATGTTCTTCTTTAAACAGACCCTCTTTTAAAAACATAAAAATATTCATTTCAAAAGGGAACTTTAGATCCCTCCATAAATGGAAAACCAGTATCCCGTGCCATAAATAGAAGGTAACCATAAAAATAAGTACAATGAAAACAAAACAATGTCATTAAATTCTTGCCAAATCCGGCTGCCTGCAGAAGGCTCCGAGGTGGAGGCTGGCTCCCTGCTAAAAAGGGAAGTAAGTGTTAAGAGAGGTGTTAAAAACACACCAGCATTCCAGGGAGACTTTCTCCTTCAGAACAAGTTGAAGGAGAAATGGAAAGGGAGGAAGGCTCTCGCTCTGGGTTTTGCTGCTCTTTAGTTGGGTGGGGCTCCACCCAGCAGCAGCTCAGGCGGAGCCCATGGCACCAGCCCTCTCCTAGGAGACAGTGAACCTTGCTATCTCTTCGCGTGGAGGGGCTGTGTCTCCCCTGCATGCAGGCCAGGTGGGAGGTCAGAGCCCCAGCCAGGATGAAGCCCAAGTCTGGGCCTCTGATTCAAGTTTCAGGATAAATGAGAGACGGATAGACAAATCCCTACCAGCTCAGTCCTAACTACCCTCACCAAGCATAGCCTTGGGCAATAACAATACATTTTTTTCATTTGCATAAATTTGCTTGAAGAAACTCTGGAACGATCAGAAACTAATAAAAGTGGTGGGAACCAGTAGTGAGAATGAGACTTTGACAATATCTTTATTTATATATTTTAAACCGTATGGATATATATGGTTTAAATATACTCCATTTTTAAATAATAAAGATAAATATTTGTTAGTCTGTTGTGTAAGCAGACTTGATGTTAGACACTGTGAGTTCATTCATTCATTCATTCCTTTCATTTATTTACTCTCTTATAAACTAATCGATTCAATGAGCATCAGCACAAACCACTGAGGCTTTACTTGTTCATTGTTCATTTATTCAGTCAACTCATGTTTATCAGACTCTGTGACTTTGTTCACTTTGTGGGAATACATTGGTGGTAACTCCTGTTCTCAAGGAACTAACAGTGTAAAGGGGGAAGCAGGGGGCCTGACAGACAAGTGAGCCCCACAACTTGTGCTGTAGAATCTTGTACATTCTTCTGGGTGGGGTTAGGGTGCGGTGAGGGAAAGTCAGGTGTAGCAAGGGTGAGGCTGGACAGCTCATGGGGCCACATCAGGAAGCCTGGTCACCAGGGAGAGGAGTTAGGCATTATGCAGCAGGAAATGGGAGGAGGGGGTTGTCTTTGATGCTGAGATAAATCCCACCTCATACCTGCCCACTCCCACAAAATGCCTCTCCAGTCCAACATTCTCTTCATTTCCAGGGCCATCTTTCCTTATATATATATATTTTATTATTATTATTACTACTACTACTAGAGGCCCGGTGCATGAAATTCATGCATGGGAGGGGGAGTCCCTCAGCCTGGCCTGCACCGTCTCCAATCCAGGACCCCTCAGACAGTTGGACATCCCTCTCACAATCCGGGACCACTGGCTCCTAACCACTCTCCCCTGCCGGCCTGGTTGCCCCTAACTGCTCTCCCCTGCCAGCCTGATCGCCCCTAACAGCCTCTGCCTCAGCCCCCACCACCGTGGCTTTGTCCAGAAGGATGTCCAGAAGACGTCCGGTCTAATTAGCATATTACCCTTTTATTAGTATAGATGAGAGAGCGAGAGATTGAGAGAGAGAAAGAAGAGGGAGAGAGGGAGAGAAACATCAATGAGAGAGAAACATCAATGGGCTGCCTCTTGCATGCCCACCACCAGGGATAGAGCCTACAATCCAGGAATTTGCCCCAACCAGGAATCGAACCAGTGACCTCTCGGTGCATGGGACAACTCTCAACCTACTGAACTACACTGGCCAGAGCATCTGGGCCATCTTTCATGTCTGCTGTCAGCTTTTGCCCAAATAACTACTATGGCCTACTTGCTAGTCTCACTCCTCTATTTTGTCCCCCTCCAGTTTACAGCTATCAGAGTTCTCTTTTGAAACTTAAAATCTGACACAGTCACTCCATAGTTTAAACCCTGTAATATCTTGCTCCTAGAATAAAATCCAATCTCCTTACTGTGGCCCACAGTGTGTTGTATGAGCCAGCCCCTGTCAACATCGCTGGCCTCATCTCCCAAGCTCTCCCTCAGTCACTGTGCTTTGGTCACCGGCACCTTTACTGGTCCTTAGATACACCAAACTCTTTTCTACCTCGGGGCCTTTGTGCATTCTGCCCTCTCTGCTTGGAATGCCAGCTTCTTCTCATTCTCCAGGTTTCATCTTAAATATCACCTTCTCAGGAAAGTCTTGCATGATTTCAAACAGGGATCAGCAAACAATACCCATATCCCAAATCTAGCCTACCACCTGTTTTTATAAATAAAGTTTTATTGGAACACAGCCATGCCCATTCATTTCCATATTGCCTCTATTATGGTTGCTTTCCCACAATGGCAGAGCTGAGAGTGGTGACAGGGACTAGATATCCCTCAAAGCCTAAGATACTTACTGTCTGGTCCCTTACAAAGTTTGCTGACCCCTAATCTAAAGCAATTCTCTCTTCCCAAGTTTATTGTATCACTACACTTACTGATTTCATGGCACTTACAACAATCTGTAATCATTTTGGTTGCTGCTGTTGTTGTGTGTTGTCTCAAAGAAAATTCAGAGACAAAAGCATTTAGAAATCAAACAAAAATTTACCTAAAAAGAAGTTTCACAAGAGGATCCGGGTTTCAGAACAATAAATCACCAAATGAAAACTATAACAGATACTTTGAGGGGAAAAATTACCGAGGGTTCGCCTGTCCAAGGTAAGAGAGACAGCAATTTTCTCACCTGAGTTTTATATCTGCAAAGGTAATCACATGTTTTCAGATGGGGTTTTGCAGACATGAAATAAAGTCGTTTTTGTTAGGGAGTGAGTAACTCACAGGAAAGGCCCAAGACTTCATTTATTTGGGGATTTAGAGCTAGACAGAAGAGCCCTGGTTTTTCTCAGGGTACAAAGTGCTTTTATAATCTGATTTTAGACAAAAATGGCAAAGACTCAGTTTGGCTTCCAGAAATTGTGTGTTCCCCAGCCCTCCACCCCACTATTAGAACATAAGGCAACATTATAACCTTTCCCCTGAGGGAGATACTGTGTCTGTATGGCTTACCTCTGTGTTACCAATACCTAGCACAGGTCTGACTCATATCAGGGAAAATTATAGAAGACTTGAAATAGAAAAAAAGCCCACAAAGATCACCGGATATCCTATGGAATGCTATACCTTGTCATCACCACATCTCAGGTCATCTGATTCTGTGGCAATCATGCATTTCTAATATATATTGCTTATTGATTTCAGAGAGTAAGGGAGAGGGAGAGAGAGATAGAAATGATGAGAGAAAAATCATTAATCGGCTGCCTCCTGCACACCCCACACTGAGGATCCAGTCTGAAACCCTGGCCAGGAATCAAACTGTTCATAGGTTGATGCTCAACCACTGAGCCACAAAAGCCGGGAAATTATGCCTTTATCTTCGATGCATCATACATCTCTGTAGATTGTAACAAGGCTGATAGCAATACAAGTAATTCTTGTCCATAGAGATGCAAATACATTTTATCTGCTTGAGGTGCAAGTGATTCCCCCCACCCCCGGTCCTCTTGAAAGAAAATCATTTTGCATCTTTAGCAAATTAATTTCAGCATTCTTCATTGTGTGTGTGTGTGTCTGTGTAATTCCCTCATAAGTTAATGATTTTAATAAAAACTCTGACACGTGTTCATTTTATATTTGAACAAGAGGCATGATTTTACTCTTGAAAAATGATCTTCTATCATCTCTCTTGTTAAATACTGGAGTAATGAATGCTGGAATTAATACTGAATATGCTCTCAGAGCATCCTGTGCTTCTTTGTAGGGCTGATTTAATGATTTAGTAATTATAGTTATTCATGCATTTATTTTTGTATCATCTGTCTCTATTGACCATAAGCTTCCTGAGGGCAAGGAC